ATTCTGTGATTCTGTGATTCTGTGAAACCCAGTGAGTAACTTGCATAATTCCAGGGAGGAATAAATATGGATTGCACAAAGTAATGTATAGTAGTCATGAACTAAATCTTCAAGACATCCTGGACTGTCTATATGGGACTGAAAGACAGTGGAAGTCAAACCAGGCACTAACCTATTCTGTTAGAACATTCAGAAACAAGAAATTCAGAACAATAACGCTGACCCAGAAATTAAACTGAGAGCAGCATCTGGGTGACAGGTCCAAATGGTTTTGCTGCATTTCCTTATAAAAAAAAAACAAATAATTTATTGTTAAAGGCTTTCTACGTCTTCAAGCTTACAGAACAGATCTGTTGAATGTAGACAAGCCTATAAATTCAACCTCACTAAATTCAGTGGCAAAATGTAGCTGATCCTGCAGGAGCCAGGATTTCACTTCGCATTTCAGAATCACTCTGAGGTGTAGTTTGTCACAATTAGCTCAATGGCCTCATACGTGTCATGAAAGAACAAAATCAATGAGATGGAAGCATAGTAAACAGCACAGGAAAATAACTCAATGAAAATACAAGTGACCATTTGTTTTCCGAGACCATTGGTGCCTCAGCATAAAACTCCTGTCTGAGTCTATGCTTTTTAACTGAATCTAAGAAATGTTCCCATGTGGAAAAGCCTTCAAGAGAATTTTTTTAAATTTCTATCTTTTTTCCTAGAGCATGAGAGTGATGGCTGTGCACCTTTTAACTTACATCAGCATGGTAAAAGTTTGAAGTCTTCTGCAAAAAAAACCCCTATATTAGAAGCTGTGTTTTCTTGAGGATGGACAACCTCAAGGTCTATGTGACTCCTTTAATGTGTTTCCCACAGTGGAATTTATTTTGGAAACTTGCTAATAGGAATTTTAATATTAATGTCTATATAGATTGATCAAGTTATCACTAATATGCTTTTATATATAAATCAAAAAGGGCCTTAATGGGAACAAAGATCAACTGCTTATGTTGTTGGTTGAAACTCTTCATGTCTGACAAAATCAGTCACTGTCCCTATATCTATAAGTGTCTCCATGCAGTCAGTGCTAGGGCATTCAAAAATCCATTGCAAAACCAAAACAGAGGTAAAAACGGAGGCAGTCTTTCAAATAATGCTCTTTACATGCTGTCCTTCACTCCAATTTTGCATATTATTGTATGGAGATCTCAGCAATGATGCATTACCATAATATCACGAATGCAAAGAACTTGCTCTCTGAGCAAATGTTTGCAAGACACAGAAAGTTTGTCTTCATTAAGGTCCTCTCTGCAGTGCTCAGCCCTGATTTCAAACAAGCAGCAGGCCTTCCCCACCTGCTTGTTCATAGCCACAGCTTTTGCCAAAATGAGAAAAAATGCGTATACAGTTAAAATTGAGCTTTCAAACAATTTCCTACTTTAAAAATGCCAGACTATGTAAACTGTTCAGTTGTGCATGAGATATTCAGGAAGTCAAACTTGCTTGTATTTGCTTTGCATCCGTATTTCTCCAGGATTCGCTTGGGTCAGCTTTGCAACAACTTTCCCAGAAGTGTCATCAGTGTCCCCTGAGAGTCATTCCCCTGAGGATTCCTGGAAATGAGCCATTCTGCCTTGCTGGCCTCCATCAGTAACCACTCATTTCAAGCTGTCCAAATATTTCAAGTATTTTCTCCATATTTCGCATGAGATACTGTAAGTCCTTTTTACTTCAAAATACACTCTCAGGAGGAGGATGCCTCTGTCAAACGTGGCACAGGTGAAAGAAGTATCCACTGGGTTTGTGGATAACAGGAAGTTTTTTATGAAATATAGATGTTTATCAGCACTTATCTCAACTTCAGAGACGGTCACGACTCACACTTTGTAATTCTGTGGCTGTAGGAAGTACACAGCCTAGAGCTGGTATCCACCCTGCAGGTCCATGAGCAGAATTTTGTCGTTCAAATGTACTGACTACCAATAAGCTTAGGTTTCATTGAATGTTTAAATATTTCAGGCCACCAGATAACCAAATAGCAGTGTCTCAATGAAGAGTTATGTTAATAAAAAACACGGAGAATACAAAGCATGGTTGGCAGGCATTGGGTGCATTTTGTGAAGAAATAGAAAAATAATTTAAAATACATGCTTGAAATAAGGTAAAACTTTCTGCCTGGAGAACAGAATGCAATCTTTTTTTTTTATGAAGATATGGGCATCTGGTTAAGCTTCTCCCAGGGACACATATAATGCCAGAAAAAGACAGAAGGGAGATCAATGCAAGAGATCTTTATTTTTAAGTACTCTGTAGAGAAATATTTTAATCACTTCTCCAAATGTCTACCAGCATCTTTTTTTCTGCCAGACACATGCATCTCTTTATTGCACATGAAGCTGCAGGACATGTTTCTGATACTTAACTCTGCACAATTAGAAGAAAATATAAAGAATCAATGGCTTTGATTCTCCTTTATATGTTCCTCAGTTCAGCCAGAATTCTTTTACAGTCTAAAAGGCAGATGGCTGTAATTAGGATCTCTGTTTGAAATGCCATTTGTTTGCATTTCATTTCACTGATAACCAGTCAGGCAGTCTATGGAGTTGTGTGATTACCACTTGTGGGCACTAAGGCTTGTCATACAGATTCCAGTGTGAATAAAACTCAGTGATGAGGCAGCCAGCCTCACTTCAGGGGCAAACATCTTGCATGATGTTAAGAAAAATCATTCGAGCTTTCCCAATGAAATCAAAAGGCTTTGCTTGAGGTCCTATGACAAAAAGCATTTCTACTTCTAAGACAGACTTTAGTTAAGATACCATGGATAGGAAGGATCACCAGCTGTCCACTCTCTCCTCTGTTAGCAACTGATTCTTCTGGTTGTTTTGTTTTTCTTGTAAGTTTTGCTGTTCTTTTCCAAATAATTTCTAGGTGAAGGTAGACTACAGCCATCACCGTGACCAAAGCTTGTGCTGCTGTGTACGACCTCTTGAGCAGTTGTAGCCAGTTCCTGTACAGTCCCAGCAGGATGGAGCTCAGCGAACACCAGACAACCACTTCCTCGAGAGAGCCATTTGCTAACACTGAACTCAGAGCTGCCGTGGCTACAACAGCACGTGAGGAATTAAAAGTTTGTGTGGCTTCAGGCACTCACTGCAGCTAAGGTAGGTCCTCAGGTGGAAAGAGTCTCTCTTTCTGCAACAGCCACCCATCAGAAACCCCAGAAAAGACAGCAACTGAAGCTCAGAATGAGCTCTTTTATTTCTTCACCAAGACTGAACTTGTTAAAAATCTCATTCATACCTCAGACAGGGGAAGTCTCTCCTGCTTTCATCCACCCACCTCTAGACACCACAGCCCAAATTCCTATTTAAGATTATTTCCATTCCAGTTGATTTTTGGTACCTGGCATTTCCCAATGATTGAGTAAATAACACACATAGAATACCCAGACATCAGTCTCACCATGCCTTTCAAAAAATGCATAGACAGATATTAATTTTCAGTAGTTTTATTGAAAAATGCCTCTTTCATTTCAGAAATAAATAATATAAGGCAGTGAAATTCACAATTTGCAGTTAAAATATAAAAGCAGCAATTCTATATCCATAGTCTTGCAAACAATTTCCAACTGCTTTTGATAACTAAGAAACATTGTATTCTGAAAAAAAAAAAATGTCCATACTAAATATACAACATAAACATGCAATTCCATCTCTGCAGGATTGACTGCAATTTGGCATAAATGTTACTGTGTCTACAAACAAGGAGATTTCAGGCATTATTAAAGTGTATCCAGTCGATACAATGGTTTCAGCTACTTAATGTTTGTGGTGTTTAAAGGAGATGTATAAGAACAGTATATGCTTTGCAAAGTGTAACTAAGAAGAGAAGAAAATGGCAATGATATTGGAAGGAGAGGGATCTTGCTTTTTTAACTAGATAATGCAGACCTGTGATGTGACTGAACTGCAAACATGCATTTGAAAAAGAAGAGAAACGTAGAGCTAAAGCAGACAGTCCTTCGGAAACTTGCAGCAGCTCTGTGGTTATTTTTGTTTTGGTTTTTTGGTTTTCTTTTTTTATTGATTCATTTTTACATTATTTTAATGAAAAGGCAGCACTAGGATAACTGAATGCACATATTAACCTGTATGCAGCCACTGTAAGCAAAAGTATTTTACAAGCATTTCCGGAGCAATATGAAGTCTCTAGGTACACACATTGCTATCCCCACATAAGCACGATACAACACAGAGGTGAGTCTGATATGAAAAGACCAGAAAGCTATACTGGAAAAGAAATTCTGCGCTCTCCCTGTGAGTATCTGCAAATGCAAGCATAGCAAAAACAAAACCCACCAACCAAAAAAACCAAAACAAGACACAGATCTTTTATGGTTTTGTTTTTGCTTTCCTTGACAGCGATCGTTTCCAGCGCATGTGCTCAGGGTATTCTGGTGAATGCATTTCAACTCCATAGTCCTCATACTCGTCCTCTCTCCTTTCTGACTCCATAGGGACTACAAAGGGTTCACCTTCAGGTTGATAGGGTCCACTTTCAGGCACGTATGGCTCTGGTTGAAAATAGTTGTCCGATTGAACAGAATAGTTATCACATGTCTTTGAATCCACAAATACAGTGAAAGTTAAGTTTGCATAATGTTAGTCCAATCTTATTTCCATAAAATAAATATATAAATTAACAGTTCACTGGGGGGGGGGTATTTTTCAGCTTTGTTCATGAATACTTTTTGGTAGTATAATAATAAAGAGTTTAAAATTCATTTTGAAAGGCTTTGTATTTATAATACACAAAACATTGCAGAAAGAGTCTTAAATTATGCACGGGACCAATTATTGTTAAAGAAAACAAAACCAAAGCAAATAAAATAAAAATACTATTTTACAGCTACTTCAGTAAATTCAAGCACTGGACTTTATTTTAGACTGCGTAATTAGTAGGAGACATGGAGCAGGTAAAATGAACAGGTGGGTTTGGCATATACTAATTTTCTCTGAGAAGGGAAAGGTGAGTGTACACGTAACTATCACCAGCGGCAATATACAGTACATGTCATTGTCTCGTGCTGTTCCTCGTAACAAACCGAGTTACAGCTGGTGCTTCAGGAACACCAAAAACTACAGCAAAACAGAAGAGAAATCATTATAAAACCGTGGTATTTATCACTGCAGTTACAGAATCCAAGATTACATATTAAAAAAACAGGCACATGCCCTGATTCAGACATGTTGGTAACAAGCAACAGACAGGTAGGTTTCATAAGTTGTCAAAGATGTTATTCCGGCATATAGCAAGCAGCAGCAGGCTTTTATGCAAAAGCATCACGTAGAGTTGTTAACAGATTTTAGTGGATACGGTCCCATACAAATCATTTACAAGCCACAATTAGTTTACTATTTACATAAGTCATTTCTCATTTACTAGGTTAAATCTGTCTCTCCTAATGGCATTACCTTTGCTGGTTAGTAGTTTTATAAGCCTCCTTCACCACTGAGGCGTTTGATGGTCTGGGTCTTTTTCAAAAGAAAGAAAGACTGTCTATTTTATTATTATTGAAATGCAACAGGCTTAAGGAATTGACATCACTGTCCTTTATCTCATTCACGAGTTGTGTTAGTAAAAAGGATCTCCCCATTTTATGAGGCCAACATGGTTCAAAAACCATATCCGTGGTGAAATATCCATACGGACTCATTTTCTAATAAGCACGTGCGCAAACATCTCAGAAACAGGATTTTCATGTATTCAAACTGTAAGCAGCACTGGCGACTTAGAAAATGTGTTAGCCGAAACCTGAAACAGGTCAAAGATGATGTTAGTCTTTTAAATAGTCCATTTGAGATGCAAAAAACATACTTTCATTCAACTAAATACATAACAGTTAAGTCACAGGCATATATTTATATATGTATACATAGCTGCTTACTAGAAAGGAGAACACTGCTGAATCACAGGTACAATTTTCTTTCGTTTTTCATTTCAATAAGAATTTTGTGCAAGATCTGCATAAACTACCTGGCTCTTTAGCCAGCAGTACTGAGTCTGCAAGTGTGTACATATATATATATATCTATATGTCTCTCTTCTTTTTTTCCTTTCATGGGTACATGCACAATACACTAACAGCAAACCATATCCAATAGCAGTATCACATACACTAATTTTGAGATGTTGCAATGCATACATATTAATTTGTTAACAATACTGTGGTCCTGCAGGATCCCCATGTTAAAATACATTAGAATCTTTCCAGTCAGAAATTGGTGGCGGCTGTAACCTTTTATTTTGATTCCAGAAGCAGCCAACTGTTTTGGGCTACATCCCAGAGTGGAAGGCTGATATGACCCAAGGCTAATCAGAGACTTCATGGTCTTTACTCAGTAGAAATTGTAGGACAGTAGTGTTTTTCAGTTGTCTGCACTGTATCACCGAATGGATTGTCTTTGTGGGAAGTTTTTATTTCAGGTATCAATTTTTGTATAAATAATCCTGATATTGCTCAAAAAGAGACACACGGAAATTGCCAACCACAGCATTCTTTTTATTTTTTCAAGAGAAACATGGAGAATTCAACCTTGTTCTGAAGACAATTGGAAGGGGGAGGGACGGAGGGGAAAAAAGAAGAAGAAGAAAACGGTCACTTAAATCCTATGAGCAACACTATCAACTACTAACCATCTACGTCTAAAAAGAAAAGACTAAAATATTTAGCTACTACTTCCTATTTAAAGCGAATCATGCATAAAATCAAGTATATCTGCATCGAAGCCCACATGACTGTTCATATTCCTGCACATTACAAGGCAGGCCTGCTCACTGCAACCTTCTCCTCCTGACTCAGTCTGTCCAGGCTACAGGACTGCCTCATGTTAATATGAACAGTCACATGTGTGAAGGCTATTTAAGGCAAGTTAAGTTGTTTATAACCTACCTGGGAATCCTTGGCCATTGTAAGGGATGCTAGCACACTGGGACGAATCGCAATATCCTGGTGGCCCTGGGGGTCCTCGAATACCTGCATTTCCAGGACGACCTGGTGGCCCTGGTGGTCCTCGTGATCCTGTGGAGCCTGGTGGACCAGTTCTAGATTCTCCCTGTGGACCTAATTTTAGAATTGAAAGGTTAGGGGGCTGTTTTCTTTAAGAGCCAGCTTGATAAAACCTCAAACATTACTGCCGTCTAGACTACGCAGACTAGGCTATGTCTTTGGTGAGAAAACACTTGCACTTTGTTGCTATATGGGGGTCAACAGAAAGAAAAACAAAGGCAAACTAGAAACCTGACTCATCATTAGTTGCTTCCCCGTGTGTGGCTTATTTAAGGATTTATTCACAGAAACAGATTTAGTAAGGTTTGAGCCAAGTAAGAGACATCAATGAATTCTCTGGTTTATTTCCCCTCTGTGTAAGATACAAAAATCTCAAGGGAGACTACGAGATTAGACAAGCACACTGGATTTCAATTAAAATATAGGAGTACATTAATATTGCTACCCTGTAGCCCCAAGATAGATGAGGTAATGTGGGTTTTTTTGAATCAGTCTTATTTTGGTTAGCAGAAAAGTAAAGTTTCAAGTAACTGGGGATACAATTTGCTGCAAGCATCTTATGGGTCCTGCAATGAAAAACCATGTTTAGCCTAGTGAACTACAAGCAGAAACAAATGATGCAGCTGAATTCTGCCAAGGCATCAGTGAACAAAATTGCATGATATAAAGAGCAAAACCAATGGTCAAATCATCTGACTCTATCATCTGGTAACTCTGCATATGAGAGTATTTTATACTTTGGGGACAATCTGTAGTTCTGTAATCACAAGTACGAAGTAGAACTAGATACTGCAAAAGTGTCATCTGATAACACAACTAAAATATCCATCAAATATTCGGACAACGTATTTTCACAAAATACATTTTCACACAAGCAATTATGACAGATGAGTAGATTACAAGATAAAGAGAAATACCTATTAGCCACATCCAAAAATCTTTCTATGCAAGAGTTTCCACTAAACTCTAATACATGTCAAAAAATACGAAGTGGACAAAGAAAAGTATTTTCATTCGCCATATGTAGTCTGGTTCTCTATGAAGAAATGTTGTCTTTTACTCCTACTTTTCTGTAATCTGATAAAATGAGAAATATTTACCAGGTGGTCCTGGCAAACCTCGTGGTCCTTGAGATCCAGTCCCTCTTTCACCTTTCTCTCCAGGCATTCCTACAAAATAATAATAAAGAAGAAATAAAAACCAAAGGAAGGAAACCACATCAACAAATATTTCTTCATGCTCTCTCACTGATATTAATATTTAGTTCCTTTTACTTAATGTAACAAGGCTGGTCAAACCTCATTTTGTACAGATGTCCAAATGTGCTTTTGGGAAAATAATTTGGATATAAATATACTAATCTAAAAATAAAGTAGGATGCAGAGGTAATTTAGTGTGAATAAACTTCCTCAAACACAGGAAAGTCTTCGAGATACTTAAAACACCATGGAACCTTATTATTTTAAACTATAAGCTGGAAGATATTTTCAAGCTTGCATACTTCTGCTATAAAGGATGCTTTACTCTTTCTCAGAAACAGTTATGATAAGTCTAAGAAACAGTAACATTCAGAAATTCATTCTGCCTTGATTTTTCTCCAGTCATTTTCAAAGATTATACTAAAATATATGCTAAGAAAGCACAGTACTAAGTCTATGATACATTAGAGTAGCTGGAATAAGCATACTACAGTACAGACCCTACATGGCATTGCAGTGATCCAAGGTAGCCACAAAATGTGGTTACCCATATGCTCAAACTCAGTTCAGCGTTGCTTCCCTCTCCCAGAGCACAGCAAAGAGCCATGGATGTAGACCTGATTCTTTCAACTCCTTCTTTTTATTCATGGTAATGACTCATTTTCTCTCTTAATGGGAGTTCTGTTCTGCAAAGAGTTGTGTTACTCAAAACAGCCTTTCAAGATGTAGCTGTTTGGTGCCAGAAGAGTTCTGAGAACTTTCCTGGGATATCCCGTGAAAGCCTGAGACAGCAGCCAAAATGTTATACCAACTTGTGTTTCACGAAACATGAGTAAGGGAGAGACAGAGGAACACACTGAGGTAATTAACGTGGTTCTCCAGAACATCAGTGTCCCTCAGGCAATCTGACCTCACAGGCTACTGCTAGGTGTTGGCTTCCTACTCCGACATGGTAAAGGGATCGGACTGCTCCTCTGGCAGCTTCTGCACTGTGTCCACTGTGAAATACACAGCTGCCTTGGAATTTACTCACCTCTTTCACCGGGTGGTCCTTGGACCCCTGGAGGTCCTGGGAACCCTGGTCTTCCTCCAGGTCCAGGCTCTCCTCTTGTACCAGCAGCTCCTGGGGGACCAGGTGGTCCTGGTGGCCCTGGCTGGTTACGGTTTGAATAATAATCATTCGGGATTTGATTCAGCATTTGATTGAACCGGCTCATTTGACCTTCAAAAGGAAAGAAAAATGGTTCAACAAACCATGTGAAATGAATAAAAGTCTTTTATCAGAGTGGGAAGGAATAACAAATTATCTTTCTTCACTAAATCCCATCCTTGTTCCCATTCAATAAATTACCAGTGAATTAGTACTGATGAATTAGGAAGACTTGAGATGCATAACCGTTAAGAAGGATAAACAGAAATGAAGGACAGAGGGAAGAAAGGTAAGAGGGATTAAGGAAGCCAGTAACATTAACAAAAAATAACTGTAAAGCAGTTAAAGACACAAAATACTTGTTTACAAGAATCTTGCTCTCAGAGCTCTAATTTAGAGCTTCTCCTCTGAAGACCAGAAAGGACTTGTTATACTTCAAAAGATGGAGTATCACAATTCGATGTACTTTCAGAGCTCTGAAGCTACCACAAGCACAGTGTAAATTATTCACATCTAGAGCTGGCAGCACACAGTCTGTGAAGTCATTTTCTTAAAACAGTAAGATTCATTGGCTTGTTCCTGTATGCTTTCTGCATAGAGGCAAATTTCATTTCCAAAGAAAGGTGTCTGAACCCTTAATGATCCAAAAGGTGTAACTGTTTACCTCAGTCAGCACTTGCCCTTGTCATAGAAATAATATTAAGAACAACTGATGGGCACATTTGCCTCTGTCCTTCTCGGCAGGTCTATTGATAGCAAAAGCCTCAGGGACGGAGAGAAAGCTCTGTAGAAAACACTTTCATGGGCTGCAGAGCTGCACTGTGTGGCAGTAGAGGACTGAAATTCAATTTGGACTCCTTATCCAAATAAATATCCTTTTTACTTGCATAGCACAGATGATTCTGTGCACAGTATTTACCCAACACTCATCTGTTTTTTCCTGCTAGCAAAGTATCTGCAGTGAGCATCCTTTTCCTCCCCAATTCCCTCCTCCTGAACATAAGACATGTTTAACAGAAAATGTATACTGATTTTATGACAAAGTAATTTTGGACCAGACTGACAAAAGGAAAGTCACCTTCCTTGTACAGAGTATTAGACTTGCATGTGTATTCTCAAAGATCACAGATTAGTTCATGATCAAACTAGCCATTTGGATCTGGCAAAAATTCAATGCCACATTTTTTTCTCACCAAATCATTGGCACTGGACAGCTATCAGATCACTCAAGCTCTTGCTATGCTCTGTGGCCAGTATACTCACCTTACATTTAAACCATTGTTTTCTCTCTTCATAAGCAAAGCAGTGAATTACTAGCATGAGAAACACAGCAAGCAACACTGTTTACCATTTATCAGTTGTTCACAAACTTGTCTTGCAACTGCTCGCATCATGTTCTGAGAAGCAATGTCACCCTAAATAATCAAAACCAAAACAAGTGTTTCATTAGCAAGTGTCTGTGCTTTTAAAGACATAGTGTCTAATAAAAGAAAAATCTTAGAAAAAACAACTTTAAAGCACACTTACTCTGTCACCTTTTTCTCCTTTCATTCCAGGTGCACCCTAAAATAAATACAATATAAATAAAACAACTGAAAGATTATGTTATTTCAACCCACCTATAGGTTTGAGACATGCAATTTTAGAAAACATTCTGACTCCTTCAGGAAGACACAGAGCACTGGACCAGGCTGCCCAGACAGGTTGTGGAGTCCCCTTCTCTGCAGACATTCAAAACCCACCTGGACGCCTTCCTGTGTGAACTCCTCTGGGTGATCCTGCTCTGGCAGGGGTTGGACTGGATGATCTCCAACCCTACAATGCTATGATTCTGTGATAGACCTGTTCCTCCTTGAACTTCACATTTTAAAAATGCTAAAGCAGGTGCCAGAAAAGACTGGACAAGCAATGATCCTCTGTGTATGATCAAATGCACTGACAGATGCAGAAGAAAAAGATCTGATGGAAAAATTCAAACTAGGGCCAAAGAAAATGATGTATTCTGACACTGGGACCCTGCTGGCAATTTGAAAGTTGAATTTCTAGTATCATGGTTCTGTAAATGGTGAATGGCCTTGTACAAGTTATATATGACCGTTTAATCTTAAGTCTTAAACTAACTCACTGTTCAAGAGAGTAAGCTAAGAATAACATGTCTAGGAAGGGAAGCTGTCTTCTTGAACCCACAAAAACCAGACCCTGTGTTAAGCAAAAAAGCGCTATGCAGAGATGACACATAAGATGGAGAGAGGTGCCATTAAATGTTTATTTATAACGACAGCTTCCCCACCAATTCTCAACCATTTCTAGTCTCACAATAGTATCATAGAAGTCTTAGCATGACCTGCTTCATAATTATTGACATTTGCCAAGATCTAACTTTTGTCTAACAGCAATTTGCCTTTGAATACTCTAGTGGTTGTTGTGAGTTTTTTGGTTTTCAAGAAACTATGTAAGAAGACAACCAGAAGGATTGATTCTAGTTTATATATATGTGTGTGTGTGTGTGTTTGTGGCTGGAAAAACATCAGGTACGTTGTAAAGAAGTTTTTAAATGCTGAACAGGAAGTATGCACACACAATCTACTCTGCAAACAAATTTTTGTGTGTGCACCACTCACACATTTTGAGACTTTTAGCCTTAAGTTTGCATTCCACCGCTAGCAAAGAAAAGCATCAAGGGAGAGCAAACCCAACTTTCCACAGAAAATGTTGTTACAATGCTTGGTATGATGGATTATTAAAGATTTTCAAAATAGACAGCAATGCTCTCAGAAGGATGTTTATAACTTGCTTTAGTCTATAACTGGCTTTAGTCTATTTGACATGGTTGTGGCCACAGAAAACATTGAAGATGCCCATTTAAAATAAGTAGAACATTAGATTCACAGTCATTTGTTTTAACTGCTAGGTCACCTTTTGAAAAATCTAAAAATCTGCAAAGTGTTTTAAAACTATTTTTTTTTAATTTTGACATCAAAATACAGAAGAAAAAAAATAAAAGAAAAATACTGCATGAACTCCTTAGGAAGTCATCATGAATAGCCCTTCCAATGTTCTTGAACACTCACTGGGACAAATGCCACGTGTGTGACAAATTCCAGGACGGTACAAACAAAACCTTGCCCTAAACTATGGCTCCTGAAGTGACCAGTGTGAGTTTCACAGTTGACTTCAGGGGATGCAGAGTTAGGCTGCAGCTGAGTCCTGCTAAAAACCTCTTGTAAATTCACCTGCCAGAGTGTGTCCAAAGAGCACAGAAGCTTTGTCAGTCAAGCAAAAAGGGGCTACTATGAGTTCAAATACATTGCCACTTGTAGCCTAAATCACTATTTGAACGTAAGTCATCTGAAAGGTGAAAGATCAGTTTGGTCATCTGCTGCTCTGCATGCCTTTAGTTACACATACACCCTAAGTATCATTGCTTTTTACATCGGCCTATTTCTTTAAGAAGCCTGTTTATCACCATTAACAAACCAAAGGCTAAGTGTGGGCCGCAGCTGTTTCTCATAACATTCCTACAGTACCCGCAATTAAGTTCAACAACACAAGACAACACATCATTCCACTGAGGTCACTGCAGATACAATTCAAATGCAGTGGCACTGTTTCATAGTTTTTGGGCACTGCTCAAGGTTTTGGGCAAACAGATTCCCATGGGGCATGTTGGGGTGTGAACTCTGAATTCTATCTGAGCTTCTCTGCAGTAGTGCTCCGGACACCTACCCCATGACATGCCACAGAAAATATGAGGCAGCTCATCCATCAGCGAGTTAAGTAGTTGGCACACAATACATTTGCATGATGCATAACCAATAATTCATGCAACATTAATTGTACAGACTCAAATGAAAGATCTAGAATAGCGACACCATAAATGTGCCACTGGAGTTATGCCACCAGTGAGACAGTTACTAATATCTACACAATATACCCATCAAACTGATGAATATTCTCTCCCTTCTGTCCTTCACTCTTTCATCTCTATCTTCTCTTACTCTGTGAAGCCCACAGGGAAAAGGTCTGCCTTTTAGTTTTAGTCAAACACAGCCACGTGCTGAAACAGACCACGGACTTGTAAATGCCACAACAATGCAAGTAAAGTGTATTAAAACCATCAGGAAAATATGACATTTCTATCTGTCATTCTCTAAATACCATTGTGGTAACTGCTGATGTACTGAAGCTCTAAAAGAGATGTTAATTTGACCCTGAATTCAACAGACATTAACATCTCAGTCATAAATTATCACATTTATCAGAAATATCCATTGAACAAAATTGCAGGTTTTTCACTTGCATTAGTCTATAACATTAAAATCCGGGGAAAAATATCGACAAATTATTCAATGTTTCTCCTTCTGTGTGAAAATCGGCAATTTTTGCTATTTTCTGAAAGCATATTCATTTGAAATTATCTGCTGAGTATATATTTATAACACCTACTCATTGTATTACCATTCTTTCTATGGCTTTCACAGTACAACCTTGTGTTGCTTTGACATGACTAAATCATGTAGTACATCTTCTTGTTCATTCACTAGGTAAGTGCAAGCATTAGAAATCAGATTTCTGGTCTACTACCCCAGCAATATTCTAAAAATTACTCAGCCCTGTTCCAATGATTTCACTTGCTAAAGCATTCACACACCAGAAATTAATCAAAATGTTCAAATCCTATATGCTGTTTCTGGAAATATTTTTGCTGGCTGGTCAAGAAAAGTTCTCCAGGCTGTCCTCAGCCACAAGCCATGTTGGTAAGACAGGACAGTGCTCTGGTAATAAAAGCACAACACAGCTCCAAAGTATTGCCAACAAAGGTCCCCCAGCCAGAAAAGCGCTAAGGTCATTCCTTAATTGTGAGCGCTACACAATCAATTTTACAGTTCATTGAAATCAAATGAGCCCCATTCTTCAATCTGTGACCTTGCAAAGACACACCGATTCAGCCTCATGAGTGGAAATTTAAAGGCCAAACTAATTTTAAATTCTGAAGATTAGAGGCTGACTGGCTATGTTATCAACAAAGTTCATTTTCCACCTGGATATTTTGGAAATATGATTTCAGAATAATTATTACAGCCGCAATTACTGAGCTGCTATTAGCATCTTCCTCCCACTCGGTTAGAGTCTGCTTATATATCCGTTTATTTTCTTTAAATAGACAAAAACACGCGATTTAGCCAGCAGCCTGCCGGCATTTTGAGAAGCAGCAGCTGCTGCTGACATTCTGTTTTGCTGATATCCTGTGATGAGGGAGTTACTTGGGGTCAGTGTGAGGAAAAGCTGGTTTATGCTGCACGTGGGATTTTCCTGAGCTGTGGGATGAAGGCTGAGGCTGCAGCAAAGTTCTACAGCTGAAGGAGGACAGAACAAAGGAAGTTTTGCTATTTTTTCTTTAACAGATAATGTGCTCAACTGTTTTCCCCACAGGAATGCTTGCTCCCCACAGCAACCACCAGTTTGCTACTCCCAAAGCGGCATCTTTTTGAGACCTCATCCAGGATGTCTGCATAGATGGATCAGTGAATACATGGCAGTAGAGAATGGAAAACTCTGAAAAACTACATTTAACTCACAGCAAACATCCCCCTTACATGCTTGGTATTACCCTCTAAAGGTTTTCACAGGCTGTTTAGTCCTGGAGGCATCAGTCTAATAGCACCTTATATATAGAACATAAATGCCCTGCATTATTTCCTGGGGGTCTTCTAGATAACAAAGCCAGACCCTGTTGTCACAGCCTGTTTTATAAACAAGACAGCTCCACCTCACGATGACTCTGCCTGCCTATCCATCCATTACCATTTTCACTCTCATACCTATAAAACAACAGTACTGGAACTTTTATTCTCTGGTATTTCAACTTCTTCTATTTCCAATTACATTTATTCACAGAAAACGTGTATCTGTTTATTTTTGAGCCAATATCCTCTTTTAGCTTAATGACACTGTCTTACCCTTGCCGGTTGTTACCCTGTGATATATGTACTGAATACTACTGAATTCTCACCCTCTCTTTAACCAGACAGAGGACAGATACATTAGTTTCCTCTAGGACAGCCAATGCGCAGCTCTCCATAGATTTACTGACTTATTTGTGTTCTTACTGCTCCTTTCATGGTTTTGTTACTACACTGAAATAAATACACAAGTTTTTCTTAGAAGTAGTTATAAGCAGATTATAAAGTGAAATTTCATCTTTCCATGAAAATTCTGTTAATGCCGCAAGTATAAACTCGTTCTTGTGCAAATATACACTGAGGTAAAGAAACATTTACAGTCATATTTGTGGTGTGGTCTGCCTTGCTAACACATCAGGGAAGAGCTCCAATTGACCGCGTTCACTGGAAATGTCTTTGCAACACCAAGGCTCCACATAATTTTCACGTAACTGTATCTTTTGCCTGGGATGTAATGTTGCCTTGTAGGGGTCTATCCCCTGACTTGCACTGCACAGTACCAACAGTACAGATTGTTCAGGAAGAAGAAAAAACAGCAGGATGTAGTCAAAAATTATTTACTCCTTGTATTTACCAGAGGCAACTTGAAGCCTCATTGTCTTTCTCCAGGACAGGAAGTTACAAATTCAGGCAGGCCTGAACTATGATTCAGGACACTGCAAGTTGCATTTGGCTGCACCTTTGGCAATTCTAATCCTGGATACAAAGGAAAGCGTTGAAATTCTGTCCACCAGGAGTCTGATAAAACATCTGTGCAAGGTG